TCCTGATGTGCACTCATGGCCGCAAGCTTACTCAGAGTGTCCCGTTTTCCGCGCTCCCTACGAAGCCGCTGCAAAACAACCAGGAGACGCTGTTTAGTTAAAGTTCCGTAATCGCCAGTTCACCTTCCGGTATGTGCCGCCTTACCTGCACATTTGCTGAACTATGGAGAATCTGTGTCCCACAATTCCCTGAGTTCCTTACACACGTTCTGCACTCACACCATGACCATGTCACAGCACGCCATCGAGGCCAGTAAAAGACCTTCACGGCTCTGAGCAAGCACTACTACTGGCCAGGAATGCGCGCCTACACTACTGTGTATGTTGTATCATGTACTCCCTGTCAAGAGTCCAAGTCCCTTAACTAGAAACCTGTAGGCCTTCTTCAACAGCTACTCATCCCTTCTTGCCGGTGGGAGCACGTGAGCCTTAACGTTGTCACAGATCTTCTCCTTTTAACGGCAAGGCACGGCTCGATTCTTGTGATGGTCGACTCCCTCAGCAAGATGGCCCATTTCGTTCCTGCGAAGAAGTTCTTCACAGCAGTATGCACCGTGGAGCTTCTCGCAGACCGCCTTATCCGCTATCACGGCTTTCCAGAGGGGCTCATATCGGACCGAGACTCCCGTTTCCCCTGGGATCTCTGGCAACAGCTCTGTAGCCGTTTTAACATGAAACGCGCCGTGTCCTCATCCTCCCTTCTCCAGAGCGACGCTCAAACTGAAAGGGTTAACCGCGCACTGGAGAAGACGCTTTGTACCTACATCTGATGAACGCGAGTGGGAGCGCTTGCTTCCGGCGTTAGAACTTGCCCATAAGACGACAAAGCATTTATCCACCGAGCTCTCTCCCTTCGAGGTCATGATCAGCAAGAACCCGGTGACTGCTACAACTCTTGATATCCTAGGCACGTTAGCCCCTACGTTCACTCCTCCGATGACTAAGCTTTTCCGGCAGCTCTGCGACAGAGCACAGAGCCACATCCTAAAAGCAAAAAGGCAACAGAAATACTACGCAGATACAAAGCGCTGAGCCGTGGAGTTCGCAGTGGGCGACAAGGTTTGGCTGAGTAGCGAGCACCTACGAGCTTCGACTAGCTGCCCTAAGCTCGAACCCCGTTACCGAGGACAGTTTGAAGTCATTGAAAGTATACGGACCGTCGCTTACCACCTCGCTTTGCCTCGTACTTATGCGTGCCACAACGCTTTCCATGCTTCGAAGTTAGTTCCCCGTCGCCGCCGCCCTCCAGACTTGGTTCGCCAGAAAGCCGATACCGCCTGGCCCCCTATATGCGATGCGGCATTCAGTCCAACAGAGGAGTATGATGTCGATTATGTTATGGACAAGCACGGCTCAGGAGCCGACGCCCAGTACCTCGTCAAGTAGCGCGGTACTCCCGAAGATCAAGCCATGTGGGAGCCCGCTCACCACCTAACACGATGTGGGGCTTTGTTTCGCGCTTGGCACTGCGGCCAGCGAAGACGTCATCAGGCTCGAAACCATCTTGCTTCTTCCGAAGCGTAGCGGTTTGGATCCGTCAGCTTCTGCTCCCCGCAGTGCGGGCAGCCTTTCATGACGATGGGGAAGGGAGCGCTGCGCACCGCATGCGCTTATGACATTAGCTTCAGAACGGAGCAGAGACTGAAAAAGCAGAAATCATGTGTTCGGTGTAGGCCGGTTCAGTCCGGCAAGGAAGGAAGTTGTGGTGCGCAATCACAACAATAGGGCTTGCTGGTGACCTTCAGATGATAGCTAGCTGGTGACCTACACGATGTTGAGGTGAAGACGCTTTTTGAGCGCGGAAACGTCTTATTAGTAAAGTACAGATTAAATTTATAAGGAAAATAGCGTGTATAAACTAGAAATGTCTACGAATACTCTTAGACGAGGGCTGGCGACAACGCTGGCACCGGTGCGGGTCACCTTCCTATCGTGCAAAAAAGCAAGAACCATGAGGAGCGACTTTTATGAAATTTGGTTTTGAAAACTCTGAACAGAACTGCCTTTTTAATAATTTGGTGTTTGTTTCATGAGTGATGCGTCGATGGTAGAGAGAATTTTATAGAGTGCCCAAGTCGTGGGCCACGTAGCATCATAGTCGCTGCAGAGATCGCGGTGTACTAGAGAACCAGAGTCATTGTACTCCACAGCGCCTTCAGCTGCGACTACGCTCCTACCTGGCCCAAGAATAGGGCGCCCTATGAAAAATCTTCTACCTTCGACGCATCTCTTACGAAGCAAATACCAGTAATAGCAGTCATCTTCTCAAGTTCTGAAATCGATTTTCCTTTGAAGTCCCGTAGTGCCTGCGCACTACAGCCATCGTCTGCGTTGCACGATTGTCCTCACACACTGAATTCTGTGATGCGTGGAATGCTATGCACCGGCTACCAGCGCGTTGCGCGACCACACAAAACTCGCGCAATTACTTTGGTGGGCGAGCAGACCGCAATTTGTGTAGTGCACAGGCAGTACAATAGGGCTTGCTGGTTAAATATAGAAGATAGGTTGCCGGTGACCTACAAGCGGTCATAACACGGTACGAAGACAGGACCCTCTTACTAGGATCGAAGTAAGCCAATTTGTCGGCGAATTAGCGTGTATACACTAGACGTGCCTTAAAATACCCGGATATTGGGGCTGGCGATAGCACCGGCACCGATGCAGGCCTCCTCCCCACAGGGCCTTGGAGGCGAGAACCCCGAGTGGGGTGGATTTTAGAGAGAACGGATTTTGAAAAACCGTGAATAAATGTATTTCGTGGTAGTTGGGCTACTGTTTCAAGGAAATGCGCCGTAGGTAGACGGTTATAGCAGGCCCCTACTCGAGGGAGCAGGTAGCAGCGCAGTGGCAGCAGTAGGTGCTGTGCATTACAGTTTGGCTCTCACATAAAGTTCTATAACTGATTACGAAAATACATACCTGCCTCTACTCACTTAATGAAACGAAACGTAAATAAAAGAAACAAAGCCTCATCCTCAGTAGGGAAAGTTTGCTGTTCCATTCTCTGGCTGTCCGCATGTGTTGTGCACTGCGCCCGCAGCTGCGACTACGTGCTTTCAGTCCCTTGGGCAGGGTCTATAAACTGCACCCTACGCTAGTCCATTTCCTAGTCTCTACAGCTATTGCGATTAAGAATACAAAATCATGAGTTTCTCAAATCTGTCTGTCTGTTTCGCAGCCTCCTGGGAGCTCGCCTCCTAGTCCCTAAGGGAGGGAGGCTTGCCCTGGCGCCGGCGCTCA